AGAGAGGGGTTAGCTGGCAGGACCTGGGTCCGTCCGAGGACGTCCTGAAGCAGAGCCTGCACACAAGCCCTGTCTGCCAGCCTCCAGACTTCAGCATAAGAGCAGAAGAAAGAAAAGGCCACCTTGTTTAAGCCATTGCTACTCTGGGTCCCTGTTATGCACAGATCAGTGGAATCCTGACCACCTTTTGTCGCTGAACCACTCTGCAGTAAGACAGCGGGTCCAAGAGCCGCGAACGCCAAAGCCAGCTCTGCTGCCTGCCAGCACGTCGCCTGGTGGAGCCCTCCCGCCTCTGTTTTCCATGAATAACACAGGACTGGAGTCCCTGACCTGCCAGGACTGTTCTAAGGACTAGCGGTAACACACAGCCAGGGCCACACCTGTCAGGCTAACTGGCCACACGGTCCAGAAAGTGTACTCGACCTGGCCTGAGCGACCAGGACACGCCACCATCAAAACAAACATGGACACAGAGAAGGGCTGTTCCTTTCTCTTGAAGCTGTGGCGGGTCTGGCAGCCCGGGGGGTCAGAGGGGGGCGGCTCCACGTCCCCTCCCACCCCTGCCCGCTTCATTCACGGACCCTGGGGGCCGCGGGCTGCTTCTGTCGGGGTCAGAGCCAATATTTTCGGTTTTGCAGGACACTATGGTCTCGGTGAATATTCTTCTTTGGGTTTTTGGTTTTTTAAATCAACCCTTCAAAAATGTCCAAACCTCCCTTAGCTCTTTTTAAAAATAAGCTGCAGCCCCGGTTCAGCCCATGGGCCCTGATATTTCCTGTTATCCTTCCCCCAGCTGCCCCAGGGTTGAGCATTTGAGTCTGTGAACACATGTATGCAGAGCCTGGTACACAGTAAATGCTCAATAAATGCCAGCAGCCAGGAGCAACCTGCAGGCCACTGAAAGGTGACTGGCCTTCCAGTGGTACCAACTTTCTCGATTGTGGCCCCAGATTGACGCTGAATGTCCTAAAGGCAGGACCCACGACAAACTTCTGTCCCCCTCCCTGGCCCCTGCATCAGGGGGGTCCCAGGCAGGTGAGTGAAGGAAGTCACGGGCTCCCGATCCTGCGGCAGCCCGCCATTCTGCACCTTGTCTTCACAAAGGGTTTTTCTCTGGGGTTTCCACAGCCTGGCACGCCCCCCCAGACTGAAATTTAGCCCCTGTGGGAGTCGGCCCTGCTGTACGTCCTTCCCAGCCAAAGGGGTGGGGACTGCAGAGAACCAGCCAAATCGACTCACACTGACCAAGAAAGAAAAGCGACACAGTCATCTCCAGAAAGGCCGCCACGGACTGGGGAATTGAGAGTCTGTGCTGCTCTCCCTCCACAGTGGGCTTGCCGGAGAAGCTGCTTTCTTCCGGGGGTGGGTGGGCAGCCCATGTCCCAGAACTCCGGAGGCCGTGCCAAAGCCTCCTCGGGCCCAGGTTGCCTGCACCTCTGCCCAAAGAAGACGGCCTGGGTTTGGGAGCTGCCATGTGGCCAATGCCATGGACGCAGGCCAGGGTGACTCCAAATGGCAAGAAGGGCTGGGGGGGGTTACCGTGCCCTGCGGGGTGACTGGGACAGAGACTTGCACAGCTGTCCTTTCCCACGTGGAGGGCAGACATCAAGGAACAGGGCCTGTGTCCGGCTCCTCACACCCACCTCCCGGCGCTTCTGCAGGAGACACAGGTGGCAGCTCAGGGGTCCCTCTCCCACCTGCTGGGGGTGTGAGACAGCTGCACAGCCCTGCAGCATAAGGGGCTCCCTTCTAGAAAAGCCACTTCACCAGTCCACACCAATAACATTGCTGTCAATAATACCTACAGAGGGGCCGGCCCCGTGGCGTAGTGGTTAAGCTCGGCACACTCTACTTCAGGGCCAGGGTTTGCGGGTTTGGATCCTAGGCACAGACCTACACCACTCATCAGCCACGCTGTGGCAGCGACCCACATGTAAAGTGGAGAAAGAGTGGCAGAGATGTTAGCTCAAGGCTAATCTTCCTCAGCAAAAAAAATAAAAAAAGAAACTATAGAAATACCTACGGCTTACTGCCAGGCACTCTGCCCCACACCCCCATGGTCCACTTCACCCACCTTCCCAGGCCCCCAGAGGCACGACTCTCATGGCCGACAAGGAAACCGAGGCTGTGTACAGGTGAGTGTTGCCACAGGTAAGGATACAGGCTCAGGAGGTGGAATGCTAGTTCAAGCCCACATGGCTGGTGCACCACTCCAGGCAGGCTCCACATTCAGAACCCTCGCCAGCACCCAAGGGCACCTCGGGCTCACCTCCCACACGGCAGGCACCGGGAGATCCCTGCGGGTGTCCTGGCCAACCCTCCTGTCCCCACCCACACAGAGACTCGAATCCCGGGGTTCTGGAATCACAGGCAGCACACAGGACCCCACCTTGCAAGGGGCAGATGAGCAGAACATGGCTCCTAACCAAAGCATTCGGGTCCCAGAAGGTTCCAGGTTGGAAAATGCTGAGGCCAGGAAAGGAAGCTCATCCTGAGGGAAGATCTCAAGCCCCTAGCAGCCAGGTCGCCCCCTAGTCATGAAGGGGTGCTCCTCCCTAACCTGTCCAGCTGCCACATCCCCGTGCATTGCCCCTGTGGCTGGACCACCTCTGCCCTTTCCCAGGGGACTGTCAGCCAGCACCCAGCGCTCTGGGAACCAGGCGGGAGCCACACGCCCCAGCCAAGGGACTTTGCACTCCCCAACCTTGGCACACTTGAGAGCAACCCCTCCTCGTGCACCGCGTGCTCCAGGCCGCTCAGGAACCAGGGCCGCCTTGCCCTGAGCAGTCACCCAGCCAACCTGGAGGCCATCGCCAGCTCGTAATGGGAGCAGGTGTTCCCGCCAAAGACGCGTTCGTTCATTGAGCAAACACGCTGTGCCACACAGTCCTGTCATCCGCCCATTCCACCAAGGGGGAAACTGAGGCACAGAGACCCACAGCGCCGGACAGGGTACCGGTGTGGCCCACGTTGTAGACTCTAAAACATATGCCCAAGCCCTAACCCCCTAGAACCTGTGAAAGTGACCTTCTCTGGAAAAATGGTCCCTGAAGATGTAATTAAAGCTCTGAAAAATAAGATCATCCTGGATTTAGGGTGTGCCCTAAATGCAATGACAGGTGTCCTTAGAGGAAAAGAGACAGAGGCACAGGGGAGGAGCCATGTGGAGACAGAGGCAGAGATGGAAGACCTGCTGCCACCAGCCACGCGACGCGTGGAGCCAGCGGAACCTGGCAAAGGCAAGAAACGCTTCTCGTCCAGGGCCTCTGCAGGGAGGGTGGCCCTCGTGACACTCATGTCAGACTTCTGGCCACGACTTGGGAGAGAGTACATTCCTCTGGTTGGAAGCTACCAAGTGTGTCCCGGCGGCCCTGGGAAACACACACAACCAGCGTCCGCCGACACTGGAACTCACACCAACATTATCCGAGCATAAAGGGGAAAAATCCTTCAACTTCTGAGGCTGGATCAGCCCAGACGGAGAATCGCAGTTTGGGAAATGCAGCCTTTCTCCTCTTTGCGAACGCGTCAGTTATGAGTTATCTCGAGAAGTGTTAGCTTTCCCACAAAACAAAGACACAGAAGCCAAAACTCTCCTGGAGAAAAATGTGAAGACTCAGGGAGATGAGGTGCGGAGTCTACGAGAACTCTCTGTCCTGTCTTCCCAAGAATTCCATAAATCTAACGCTGGTCTAAAATCAAAAACAGTTTATTTACAAAAGAATAACTGACCCTCCGGGAACTCCTTTGAGGATCGGCCCTGGGACCCTGGTTTGAGAAACGCGGCCCGACTTTACCCTGTTCCCTGCTGACGGTGGCCGGCTGCTGGCCATTCTGCGGATCTGGGGGAGCCTGCTGAGAGTAAGAGGCTGCTTCAGCATCTGTCCTGGGCCCTGATGCCCGCCCGGCACACTTCTCCCCTCTCCACATCTGGTCCCAGAGAACCAAGCTCTGCCCCAGCAAAAGACACAGCTCCTTTAGTTGAAATTTCCCAAGTTGAGGTGGGGGGAGAACCCTGTGTGAACAACGGCTCCGCGCACTTTCCTTCCAACACTGCGTTCTCAAAGCAGCCAAATATTCACCCAGGAAAGGCCTCCTCTTGGCCCCCAGAACATCAGCGTAGGAAACCCTGAGCCACACAGCTGAATGAAACAGAGTAGCAAAATGTGAACGGAGAACTCGGGCATCAGAGAACAGATCGGCGAGAGGAACAAGAGAAAGAAAAAGGACCAACTACAAAGACTCGGGGTCGTTGGCCAAGCCACTTGTGATTTCTTTTTTCCACGGAAACGTCAGTTGTGAAATTAGCTTGTGAACAGATACCCAGCTTCTCACATCCCCCAAAAGGAAGATCGGGGGACCGTGGCGGCGGAGGGGGCTGGGTTGCCTCTTACTCCGGAGCCAGGCATCAAGACGGGGCCCTCCCCGCCCACGTTTCCACCAGGGGCCCTCTCCCCAGATCTAGAAGTTTCCCAGTCGGGGGGTCCGCAAAGCCAAGTCCTCCAGATGGGTGGAACCGGGTCTTCCAAGCCGCCCCAGACTGGGGACCACGTTCTGACTGTCCGTAGCCGTCCAGGGGGCCCCTGAGATGACCAGAGGCTGCCCACGCCCCCCTCCTCCCCGCTGGGGCGGCCACACCCGACCCCCCGACTCCCACCTCCCGCACACCCCGGCCCCCTCCCCTGCCCATCCCCTCACCCCGGCTTCCTCCCGATTCACCTTCCACTCTCGGCCCCCCACTTCCTGCCCACCCCTCCCAATCTCGGGGCCCTCACTCCCCGTTTCCCGCTTCCCTCCGTACTCCGGCCACCTCCGGCCACCACGCACGCCCTCTTTTCTCTCTGTCCCTGACACCGTCTCCCCGCACCCCTCTCTTGGGACCCCCGCCCAGCTCCCCGGGCTCGGCCCCACGGACCCAGGCGGGCCCCCCGCTCCGGGCGCCCCGCCCGCCGGCCTCGTGCGCAGCCCCCGCGCCGCCGCGCCCGGGGCCCCGCACTCACGGCTGTAGAGGGCGATGCCCGCCGCGTCCGGGCCGGCGCGCACCTCGAGGCGCAGCGCCTGCTGCTCCGCGTGCCGCTGGATCTCGCCGTTCGCGTCGCCGATGGTGAGGAGGCGGGCGCCGGGGAACACCGACACGGCCGAGCAGGGCCCCGCGCCGACCGGGCCCGCCACCCCCGCGCCGCCCGCGCCCGGGCCCGCCGCCGCCGTCGCCGCTGCCATCTTAGATCCGGCTCCAGGCCCCGCCGCCGCCGCCGCCGCCGCCGCGCCCGGGCCCAGGCCGCCCGCCGCCGCCGCCGCCGCGCAGGCCGAGGCCGACGCCGAGCCGGGCAGCGCCGCCTGCCGGCCACCCGCGCCTCGCCGCCACAGCCACCGCCACCGCCGCCGCGGCCCGGCCCCGCGGCGCTGCGCCCCCTGTCGGCGGCCCTGGCGCGGGGCGGAGCGCGCGGGGGGCGGAGTCGGCCCCGCCCCGCCCCGCCCCGCCCCGCCCCGCTCGCACCGTCGCCGCTTTGTGAGGTGGCGCCGCCGCCCGGGAAGAGCGAGGGCGGAAGCGTACGTCAGGGGGCGGAGCTCCGCCGCGCGGACACGCCCCTCGGCCCGGGCCCCGCCCCCAGCCCTGCGCGGCTCGAACCGCTGCGCTTCGTAAGGTGGTGCGGCTGCGGGGTTCGGAGGCCGCGGGGCGAGAGCCCGCGTCAGGGGGCGGAGCTAGGCCGCGAAGACACGCCCTGGACCCCGCCCCGCGCCAACGGACGCGCTTCGTGAGGTGGCTCCCGGGCCCGGGAACCGCGGGGCGGGTCTGAAGCGCGCCGGCTCCGACACGCCCCCGAGGCCGGGCTCCGCCCCCTGGCCCCGCCCGGCTTTGTGAGGCGGCACGCGGAGGGGCGGGGCCCAGCCGCGGCGAGGCCCCGCCCCCATTCCGGTCCTGCTCCCTCCCATTGGGCCTCGCTTTGTGAGGCACCTCACTCTCCGGGAGGGCCGGAGAGAGGGGCGGGGCCAGGAGCTAGGGACACGCCCCCAGCCGGTGGCCACGCCCCCAGGCCGCAGGGCTGGGAGCGCAGTTTGCGGTGGGTCTCCGCCTCTTGCGGGGCGTGAGCCCCCTGGGAAAGCCCCCTCCCCCGCGCTGACCGCGCCTTCTCTCTTCGGCGTCATCTCTGTCCCCTTCCCGCAGTGCCCTCCTCCTGCACCCTCGGCCTTCACTGTCTCCCCCACGGAACATTCTTGGGCCCCTCCCTCTGGTCCCCTGGCTTAGCCCCTTCCCTCCCCCAGTCACTCTCCCTTCCCCCGAAGATGGCTGGCCAGTGAACCCAGCAGCAAGGCCGAGTGCCCCTTTGCTCCACACACACACTCATCTTCCCTCCAAGTCCCCCTCCACTGCTCCAGGCCCCATTCCTTTTGCGGGGACGCAAAGAGGCTTGCGGCCACTTTCCGTCTTGCCCACCTCCTGCCCTCCCCTGGACCTCCTCATTTTCTACTCCTCCCCGGGTCTCTCTGCGCCCCCATCCTCATCTTTCCACCTCCTGTACCCACCAATGCAGGGACTTTAGCAGAGTCCGGGTGGCGCTGCCCCCCTCCCCACACCCCGACGGCCCTCCCCATACACCACCCTGGCTGCGGGCAATGGAGGGGTGCTCCCCTCGCCCCCAGGCATCCAGCGATTGGCCCCCGAGGTCCCGGGCTTGAAGGATTACAGTCCACAGAGGCCTTGGGAACAGCTCAACACGTGTTTTAGTTAATAACTTAGGCAGACCAGCAGGGCAGACACGCAGGACACACCCCCAGGTACCCCATGCTCCAAAAACCCAGTCGGGTTGGCCAAGTCAGATGTGGGGGCGGGGTGGGGTGGCAGGGTGGAGGGAGTGGGGGGGGCGGGATGGAGGTGGGGGGCGGTGGAGGGGATGGATATGTGTCCTTCCCTCGTCGTCTGAGAAATGGGGAATCCAAAAAGATTTCCTGCTTTCTGTCCAGCCTCCAGGCCAATGCCGGTGCCCCGGCTCCCACTCCTGCTCCTCTGTGAGGTAGGTCCCAAGGCCAGGGGTCCCCTTCATCTCCTCTGTTCAATTCCCTGAGAAAGAGGCAGACGGAGCCCTCCAAAGTAGGTGGAGGGACCTCGGGTGCGGCGCACCGGCCAGCTGAAGGGAGATGGCTGAACGGGGGGCGCACAGATGTAAAGAGACGGAGCCCCGATCCTCGGCCTCACTGGCAGCCCCGGAAGGTGCTGAATTCTCGGGGCTCCGGCGAGGATGACGTGGAAGAGGGCCTGTTCTGGGACTCAGAGTGGCCAGGCGTCACAGCAGAGCCTGGGCGAGCATCCACGGTGGCTGCATCTTCTTCTGAAGTCATTTTCTTTGTTTGTGGAAGAAAAATAGAGAGCGAGCTGATTTGGGGTTTCAGGATCTAGGGTTTCCCCGTGTCGTGGCCTGAGACTCCCCCAGGCCATCAGATCTCATCTCACCCCCCAGACACAGGCACCCACAGCTTCAGGTCCCTGATCCTGCCTTCTGTCCTCATGCCTCCCTCGCTGCTGAACAGGGGACCAGACACCCTGGGTTCAAATCTCAGCTCCACCTCGTCCTAGTGGTGTGACCTCAGTCGAGTGACTTAACTCCTCTGTGCCTCAGTTTCCCCTTTTGCACCATGGAGAGAAAGTTAGTACCTCTCTCCTGGGGTTGCTAGGAAGCATGAAGGAATTAGATAAAGAGCCAAGTGTTAAGTGAACAAAGCGATCACTACCATCTCCTTCTCTCCCACTCCCTCTAAACCTTCCTCAAAAGTCCACCCCCACCTCCGCCGTGGAGCCTCTGGCCCTGAATGCCGAGCCAGAAGTGATGAACTTGATAACACTGAACTCAGCTGATGAGAGCAGCCTGGGGTTCCACTCCCAGTCCCGCCCGCCCCTCCCCAGCTGGGCAAGCCCAGTGAGACCCATAACCAGCTTCAGTGTCCTTGTTCGTTAAAACAAACAGTCAAGTCCACCTCATAGGGTGTCATAAAGTGACTAGAAGACTTTCAGTGCAATAACACAGTACAGCTGCTTCGTTTCTGTTGTCTCAGCCGACAGCACAGCTTTCCGATGCTTCAAAAAGAAACTGGAATTGAAAGCAGGGACCCCAACAGATACATGCATCCCCATATTCAGAGCAGCATGACTCACAATAGCCAAAACGAGGAAGCAACCCAAGTGTGCACCAGCAGACAACTATGGTCCAGACATACAGTGGAATATTACGCGGCCTTAGAAAGGACTGAAATTCTGACACGTGTTACAACACGGATGAACCTTGAAGACATTATGCTGAGTGAAAGAAGTCAGTCACAAAAGGATCAAAGTTGTATGGAACAGAATAGACAAACTCATAGAGACAGGAAGGAGGAGGTGGGGCCAGGGGCTGGAGGCGGAGGGGGAGTTAGTGTTTAACGGGGACAGAGCTTCAGTTTGGGAAGATGAGAAAGTTCTGGAGACAGATGGTGGGGATGGTTGCACAGTGAGGGGAATGTACTTAATGCTACAGAAATGGACACTTAAAAATGGCTCAAATGGTCAATTTTATGTATATTTCCCCACGAGAAAAAAGGAAACTAGAAAAGATGACTAGAATTTACTGTTAAGGAAAAGAAACACTGTGCGTAACCGTGTGGCCGGCACGCTAGCACGTGTGTTCAAGGCTGAGGATAGAGACGTGCTGTTTTCACCGTGCTGGCATTTTCGAGAAGCTCCCAGGTGGTGGGGAGACCAGTGGGTGGAGAGGGCTTAGTAATCAAAGAAAACTTTACTGTATATACATTTTGACATATGGATGTATTTCATCTTCAAAAAAATTTTAATTAAAAACATATTTTTAAAGTCACCAAGACTAATACTGAGAAATGTTATTTCTCTCCTTGCTGTTCTGATTTCCATTGTTTCATGCTTTAAAAAAAAAAAGGAAAAATCGCCAGACTGGTGCCTTGAGCAGTGTGGCTTCTCAGAGAAAGTTTTAGAATTTGCCCTGCCTGCCGGGTTTTTCTTGACAGCTCAGGGTTTGTTCCCGGAGCTGAGCCCTCAGAAGGCTGAGCAGGCGGGAGCGAGCCCCTTCGCTCCCACCTTCTGCGGCCCAGCGCCTGGGGGCCGATCTGAACGTCCCTGCTCCCCCGCCGGACTCCACACTCACGGCTCCATCCGCTCCTGCGCATCCCCGGGGAGGTGGCCCGTCACCCGTCCCTCCGAGCCGGCCCATTCCCAGGCCTCTGCCACGCCGCCTCCTTCTCCCTCCGCCCACTCATCCAACCGAAAGTCAGCGCATCGTTTCCCACCCGCTGAATCCACCCGACCTGCATCCGGGGTTTCCTCCAGCTCCGCTGCCGACTCGCTGGATCAAACCACCCGCCGCTGCGCGCGCCTGGACCAGCGCTGTCGCCTCCGCCGGGGTCCCCCGGCTCCACGCCTCCCACGGTCTATCCTCCCCGACGCCGCCAGAGGGCGCCCGGGAGCACCTGACTCGCGTCACAGCCTCCTCGGCTCCCAACCCTCCTGGCTCCCACCTCCTCCGGGGTAAAAGGCAAAGTTCTCCGCGGGGCCCCCTTGATTCCTCCCCCTGTTCCACCCCAGCTCTACTGGGCCGGGCCAAGAACGTGTCCTGGTTCTGGATCAACCCTCCGCAGCCACCTCTGGGACATCCTGGATCTCCCATCTAGGTGACAAGCGAGCGTCCCGGTCCCTCCCACCCAGGCTGGCATCGTCTGTCTCCTGCACAGAAATCACAAGCTCTGAGGAAGGAGGGGCCGCGTCTGGTTCTGTGCAGACCCCCAGAGAGGGGCTGGTGAACCGGTCCCACCCTCCCCTGGCCCCCCATCATGGTGCCCCGAGCCGACTCCACCCCAGGCTCCCTGATGGCAGTCCCGAAGCATCCACGTGTCCAAACGGGACCTCTGAGGCCATCGTGAGGGAGGCCACCTGCACCGCAGACCGATACCCTCCTCTCCGTGGAGAGGAGCTGGCTGGTCAGTTCCTTGATCCGTGGTCTCCAGGGGTCACATATCTCCAATTTAGTAAAAAAAATTATAATAAAGTACAAACCCTAAGTCCACCCCACGATGCGGCTGTGCAGCGGAGTCCCAGAGACCCAGGTTCACATCCCAGCCGGGACACCGTGTGATCGGGGGAGCAGCATCCCTTGCCGAGGGGTGGGGATGTGGTGAGACCCCGCCCCCCAAAAGGGAAATGCACAACTGGGACATTCCAGCGGAAGTCCTTGAAACTGAAAACCACAGTAGGCTTTTCTTTCTACCAGGAGGGGACCACAGTGTGCATCAGACTGTCACAAATCTCCATGACCCCAAAGAAGCCACCAGGTTGCCCTGAATCCCCTGGTACCATTCTGGGGGGCTGGCCTGAGTACAAAGCCGGCGCTGACCCCGACAGCAAGCACCCCCGGGGGGCCTGCCCCTTGCCACACGAAGGCCTGGACAGCGTGGCCACCTGCGATCCCCGGGGACTTGTCAGAGCCACCTCTCAGCTCGCAAACCATCCCTGCTCAGTGATTCCGGGCTTTTCCCGGTCCCCGAAGCTCAGAGACAACAGGTCGACCCAGCCGGGGGTGGTCCGCGCCCTCCCGTGGTGAGGACAGTCGGCAGAAAACCAGGACCAAGAAACGGAAAGACTCACCGACGAGATGGCAAACAGGGAGTTATCAAAGGACATGTCTGCAACAGAGAGAGAGGTCAGTTTAAACTCCCTGCTCACCGCCCGCGCCGGCCCCGCTTCCGAGCCCACGGGCCGCCGGTCCCCCGTCGGGAAGGGCATGGGGTCCATCTCCCAGCGTCCTCTTTGCTCCTTCCAGCCTGATCTGCAGGGAGCACCTTGCACCGCTGCAAACGGAACCGTGTACCTCTTCCCCTCAGAGCCCTTCTTCAGGGGCCCCTCGCTGCCCCCCGGAAAATGGGTGCCTTGTCCCAACTCCAGTTTCTGGAACACCCCTCAGCTCCTCCCCCGCCCCAGGCTCTCCCCGAGTCGCCCACTCTTCACCCAGCCCCGCCCTGCTCCTCCCGCAAGTCTCTGCTTAAACATCACTTCCTCTGGGGACCACCCTCCCAGCCCCAGACAGGGTCCGGCCCCCCCATCAGCTGTTTCCCTACTGGAATACGGGGCTTGGCGGCAGAGAGCGCCTCTGTCCTGGTCATCGCGAGAACTCCCCCTGCCCTCAGCTCTTAGCACATAGTTGGTGCTCAATAAATGTGTGAGCCAGCGAAAGAAGTACAGAGAATGGAGCTCCTCCGCTTGGGGTCCCTTCGCGAGCATCGCACATCCCCGACTGGCTGCCTCCCTCTCGCCCCCTGGTGGAAGCCTGCAGAACGACACGCTCGGGACCACAAGTGGGGCCCCATCTAGGGCGGAGCCTGGGGGACCAGACAGGCGAGGTCTGTGCCCCGTGGAACGGACCATCCAGCGGTGGAGGCGAGTATGACGTATACAGCAGGCAACGATAACTTCAGTGTGTTTCTACTGGGGGGTACGGAGATGCCAGGGTGCTGGGGACCTGTGGCTAGAAAGCGCAGAGCCTGCCTAGGGAGTCAGGGAAGGCTTCCCGGAGGAGGTGGCCTGTAGCCTGAGGCTGGAGGGAGGAAGAATGTTCTAGGCAGAGAGCAGAGGGAGTGAAAGGCCCGAGGATGAGGCAAAGAGAGAAGGCGAGAGGTCAAACCTGGGGGCGAGGGAGGAGGGGAGAGAGCAAGGGGAGGACGGGGTGATCTTGACCCTCGGGGAAGTGAGCGGCCCCAGAAGAGGTTCGGTAGCCAGAAATGAGACCCCATACGGTTCTGAGGTGGTGACCCTGCCCCGGCGGGGGACCGCAGCCCCGAGGAGACACAGACCTGTGGTGTCGAAGTTCATCTGGGCCCAGCAGGACTCTCGCTCTCTGCAAAGGGATGGGAGAAGAGTGACGGCCCGCCCACTGCCTGATCCCGGGGAGCCCTGGCCCTCAACTTGGCCTTGACCCTCCGCCCACCCTCGCGTCCCCCCTGAACCCCCTCAGATGGAAATTCTCTTGCAGGAGCCCCACAGCCAGCTCAAGTCTGTCCCCAGGGCTGCTGCGGGCTCTCTGCCACCAGACAGCGGGGTGTCCACCCCTCTCTCAGAGGGAGAAACTGAGGCTAGAGCCAGCTGGGACATCCTGATGCCCAGCAGCCTGCAGGCTGCAAGGTGGGCCCGGCACAGCCCCCGGGGACGCCACTTGCCTCCTGCCACCGTGGATTTCTGGAGTCATTACGATCATTTGGGGCAGCTGGTGGTCAAGGGACGTGGGGAGGGCTCGGCCACCTGCTCCCTGTGTGATGGCCTGAGCCTCGGTCTCCTAGTCTGTCAAATGGAGCTATTTAGGGTGTCTATTCCCAGGCCCGCTGCGAGGATAACGGGAGCCCCGGCCACAGAGTCCCCCGCATACCATAGGCGTCTCATAAATGGCACCTGTCCCTCTTGAGCGGCCCTCCCACCAGCGCCTGCCTGTCCTGGGACCAGGTGGCCCTGTCTGGAACCGCCTTCAGGAAGCTCCTGCGCCGGGCCTCTTTCTCTCCCCAAAACACCCTGGGAGGGGCCCCAAGGCCCGGCTCACCTTTTCTTCTGCAATTTTTTGACTTTAACTGGGAACAAAAAATAAATAAGCATTTGTTAGATTTTGGCCCTGGTTGCAAAGAAGCCCAGAAACCACCACCTGCCCACCACCTCCCCCCCACTTCCTCCCCCCCACCTCCTCCCCCCGATGCTGGAAACTTCTCCCGCTCAACAGGGAGCCTGAAAAAACATTTCCCCCAACTGCATGAGCGATGGGTGTTGCTAAGACCTCTGAATAAGGCTGTGCATGTAAAGTTGTTTTAAAAAAATCTATTAATAAATTATATAAGTATTATATTAATTGTATAATTAATTAGTTATATTAATTTCAGGGCGTGGGCGAGGCCGATGGGGAGTTGGTGTTTCAGTCTGGGGAGATGAGAAAGTTCTGGAGGTGGATGGTGGGGAGGGTGGCGCAGCCACGTGGCTGAGCTGAATGCCGCTGAGCGGCCGCTCAGAAAGGGCTCAAATGGTCAATTTTATGTGGTGTAGATTTTATCACAGTAAAAAGTGTCTATCTCCATTTCTGCTGCCCACCACCCTCATCGCACTTCTGGAGGGTTCTTCCTTACTAAGTTTTGGAGTAAGCCCTTCCCAAAGGATACGCCTCCGTGTTCCTAAGGCACGGGGTGTGAGTGTGAGGGCATTTTCACACCCCAGGGGTTGCACACTGGCAGACCGTGGGCCATGCTTTCTCTGCCTGCTGTTACCTTTCCGGACCACCACGGCCAAGGTCACCAGCCCAGCGAGGAGGAGGAGGGCTCCAGCCAGGCTCAAGGAGAGCACCAGGATCCTAGTGGACCCTAGAGAAAAGTGGGGAGACAGAGAGTCAGCAGGTCATGGAGTTGGGGGGGGGACACCTGTCGTTCCTCCAGCCCTCCCCCTGTACCTCCAACCATTTGGCTTCAGTGTAGCTGGACCCTGGGGCTCTAGCAAACCTTGTGTCTGGCCGGTTAGCATAGTCCCTCCCCCTAGCCATTGTGATTGGTTCAGGGATGGGCATACGGCCCGAGCTGAGCCAATGAGAGCTAATTCTGGGACTTTGGTTAGACCACTGGGAACAGAGTTTTACTCCTCTGGGCAGCATTACAAAGCTGGAAGGATATCCATCTGAAGCTGCTGGGCATGATTTTGACACCGTGAGTGGGGAGGCCTGCCTGAGAATAAGACACAGAAAAAAGCAGAGCTGAGAGGTAGTAAATGATTCCTGACATCTTTGAGCACCTGGATCCAGCCATGCCTGAAGCCAGTGCTGTCAATTAACTTCAATTCAGTGAACCAAGAAATCCCCTTTTGTTGCTGAAGCCAGCTGGAGTCAAGTTTTCAGTTCCTTGCAGCCTGAAGAGTCCCGCTGGTTTCAGCCTGGGCACCTGGAGGTCAGATGACATCCATGCCCAGCCACAAAGTGGACTCTGAGGCCCACACAGAGGTCAGCCAGAGGAGCGTAAAGCCTCACTCTACAGTTTACTTCTCTGCCAAAGACCCGGCTGCCCCCTCCTGGAGAGCGAGGGGTCTCCCGGGGAGCTGGGAGGAGGCGCCCTGACCCCAGTGGAGGTGAGCCCGGCGGGGACACAGACACACACTGTATTCTCACAGTGTTAGTACTTGTTCATTCATTCACTGGGGCCAGGACGGCTGTTGTCGCCTCCCCCCTCTGAGACCACAGGACCCAGGTGGGAGAAGAGGCCCTTTGACGGTGGAGCTCAAGGACACAGAGACAGTTCTGTCATCACCACCTGGGGGCCTCTGCTGCTGGCAAAGCGCTCTTTGCAGCTGGAAAATTCTGATGGATGGGGACACAGAGATCCTCGGCGCCAGCTCCCTGCCCTCGTCTTCCCTGTTTTCCTCCTTGCTCACTATTCCTCACTATTCCAACGGCTGTTGGGGGCACCTCCGTGTTGCTCAAACACTCTGGGCGGGCTCAGCCTCAGGGCCTTTGCACAGCCTGCTGCCTCTGCCCAGAACACTCCTCCCCAGACCCCAGGTGCCTGGCTCCTCGTCATTCAGGTCTTGGCTCTAAGAGAGGCCTTCCCTGGCCACGCTCCTCTGTCTGTAAAATGACTCCCTTCGCCAGGCCGTGTTTCATCCCTGCCACTCTCCTTGTCCCCTGCTGGCAGACTGAATATGTCTCGGACTCCTCGTTATCGTCTGAGCCCATCTCCCCGGAATGTCCGCTGTGGGAGGGCAGGGACATCATTGTCTGTTTCATTTGCTGCGGAATCTGCGGTGCCAAGGACTGTGCCCAGTGCCCACGAATGTTCTGTGGCCGGGAGGGGAGGGTGCAGCCATGGCGAGGTTTAATGCCTGATTTTGGAGGCCCATGGAACCCCAGCTCTGCCACCTGCCAGCTGTGTGACTTTAGCAGGTCCCTTCATCCCTTGTGCCTCAGTCTCCCCACTCACAAAATGGGGACACTTGTTGTACCCATCGCACTGGATGACCGTGACGATTAAACAAGGAAAGATGAGGACGTCCTGGCCAGTTGGAAGCCTGGCTTGTCCTGTGACGACTTCCAGGCGGGAGGAACAGCACGTGCAAAGGCTCGGCGGTGAGAAAATGGGGCCCGGGGCAGCGGGGCCCCTGGGAGGGCCTTACCTGGGGGGATGTCCACGGTGTCGCTGTGCTCCGACAGCTGGGGCCGCATGTGTTCGCCGAGCACGCCATACTGGCAGTTGAAGGGTCCCCGAGAAGGGTCCCTGCTGCTGCCACTCAGGTTGAAGGTGACCTTGAACTGGTCCGCGGGGGCCTGCAGGAGCTGGACCACATGCTCCCCTTGATACAACGTGAAATTGGCCCCTGGGTAGCCCTCGGGGGCCTCGCACTCGATGTAGATGGGGTCCTCTTGGCTGCTGGGATGTGGGGACACCAGCAGAATGGTCGGCGCTGGGATCGCCAAGGAGCCTGTGAGATGCGATAAGGGAGGCCAGGTGGCTAGGTGTTTAGAGCGGAGGCTGACCTGGCTGTGCAGCCTCGGGCAAGTAGCTCACCCTCTCTGGGCCTTGGCTTTTATGTACCCCTGGAGGCTAGTGGTCCCTACCCCACTGAGATGCTGAGAGGATGGAGTGCCTGGCACCAGGTGAGGGGTCGCTGCGGACGAGTCACTCTAGGATCATCACAGTGGTTATTACACAGCAATGCAATGACCCTCATTATTTCAGTCCACAGCACTGACTACAGGCCAGGTCCTGTTTTAGGCGCTGAGGATGGAGCAGTGAATGAGACAGACAGACAGACACGCCTGCCTCGGGGAGTGGACGCTCTCGAGGAGACGAGGAATGCTGTGCTGCGCCGCAGACACAGTGATGGGAAGGCTGTGCTGGGTGGCGTGTCCTGAGGAGGTGACAGAGGCAGAGTGGGGGACAGCGTGCCAGGCAGAGGGAACAGCATGGGCAAAGGCCCAGAGGATGGTGGGGTGTTCAAGGAGGCCGGGGTGGCTGCAGGGAGGAGCGGGGGCGGGGGGGAGAGGGGAGGAGGGGAGAGCAGAGGGAGGTCTGTCTTGTTTCCCAGGCCGGGATGAGGAATTTGGGGCTCGGGGTACAGCTTCCTGCAGGAGGGACCAGCGGCCCCCGCGCTCCGGGGCACAGTGTCTGGTGCAGGCGAGGGTCCTCCAGCCTTCCTGGCCCAGACCCCACCTCGCCTCCAGCAGATCGTCCTGCGGCCCCAGCCCCAGAGGCCAAGTAGCGCTGAGTCACAGGGCGTGGGCCCCGCTGTCACCTGCGCGGTGGCAGTTCTGATGCCCTTGACCCGGGGGTGACAAGGAGCCGGAGCGGAGACAGCCGGGCTCCTTGGGCCTGTCCGAGGCCCTGGGGCGAGTGGGTCAGGGCTCCCTCCTCCAGGCCCCGGGCCGGCAGCCCCGCGCTGGTTTCTGCCCCCAGAGCGGAGGCCAGGTGGGGGGAGTGGGGAGGGGGCCGGGGGTTCCAGGGGGTGACAGCTCACCGGCTGCAAAGAGCAGGACGGTCCAGGGCATCTCTCCTCCAGAGTGTGGCCAGGCGACCTGGCTGAGGCCAGCTCCTCCTGGGCCAGAGCAGCGAAAGCAGAACCGGGGCGGATTCAAGGGTTTCCTCACTGGCAGGAAGTTGCACACACACACTTGGGCATCGACAGGGACACTCTGCTGTCCCCACCCCTTCCACGGCCGCACAGCAGATCCTGGCGCCTCTCTGCGGCTTGGTGGCCACGGCTCTGCAGATGGGACGGAAAAAGGGGCCAGATGGTCGGGGGGGGGGGCATTTATTTTTTTCTCCCCCAAGAGAACTCCTGGGCATGAGGAAGAGTAAGGACTGCGGGCTGTTTGAGATGCTCATGCCCACGACACTAACCACGGCCCACCCAGGGCCAAAGTTGAAACTTGTGGGGTGGAGGTGCTTGGGCATGGTGTTTACGGCTTGGCCTCTGTGATCTCAGGCAAGACATGGTCCTTCGTTAAGCCTCAGCTTGCTGTTCTGTAGAATGGGGCTAAGAGTAGCAGATATTACATCCAAAGGACTCATGAAGTGCAATGCTTAGTGGGGAATGAACGCTCCCAATGTGAAGCCACAGGGAGGAAAAGCTTCAGGTTCCAAGAGAAAAGCTCCTTTCAACCTCGGGTCCTTTGCACATGCTGTCTCCCCTGCCCGGGGCACAATGCTATCAACCTGGTCAAACCCCACTTCTCATTCGGGTCTCAGCTTAAATATCACTTCCAGGAAATCTTTCCAGATCCCTCTGGACTTAGAGAAATCCCCTTGCTGAATTCTCCCCTGGTGCCTTGTCCCTTGCTTGTATTGCAATTAGCATGCTTGTCTTTTCAAGGAATTTGTCCATTTCATCACAGCTCTTGAGCTTATTGGTATAAAGCTGTTTGTGTCCCCTTGCTAGCCTTTTAATGTCTGTAGGATTCGTAGTGATGTCCCCTCTTTCGTGCCTCGTAATAATAATTTGTGTTTCTTCTCCTTTTCTCTTGATGATTCTTGCTAGGGGTTAATCAGCTTTATTAATCTTTTCAAAGTACCAACTTTTGGCTTTGTTGTTTTTCTCTATTCTCTGTTTTCTATTTCTTTGCTTTTGGCTCTCATCTTTATTTTTTTCTTTCTTCTAGTCACCTTGCATTTCATTGGCTCCTCTTTTCCTACCGTCTTAAGGTGGAAGCTTAGATCATTGAGTCTAAACCTTTATCTTCTAATATCAGCATTTAAAACCATACATTTCCCTCTAAGAACTGCTTTACCTGCACCCCACACGTTCTGATATATTGTGCTTCACAATCATTAAATTAGAAACATTTTCTTATTTCCCCTGTGAATTTTTTCTATGACTCATAGAATATTTAGAAGTGTATCACTTAATTTCTAAACATTTGGGCTTTTTTTTAAACATTTTATTTTATTTATTTATTTATTTACTTACTTACTTACTTTTTCTCCCAAAGCCCCCCGGTACATAGTTGTGTATATTTAGTTGTGGGTCCTTCTAGTTGCGGCCTGTGGGACTTTGCCCCAGCGTGGCCTGATGAGTGGTGCCATGTCCACGCCCAGGATCCAAACTGGCGAAACCCTGGGCCGCCAAAGTGGGGCGCACGAACTTAACCACTTGGCCATGGGGCCCGCCCCCATATTTGGGCTTTTGTGATAGCTTACTATTCATGGTTTTTAATTTAATTCCTTTGTGGTCAGAGAATACATGCCAGTATTCTCTGACCACAAAGGAATTAAAACGCCGTATAATTTCAATGCCTTAAAATGTATTGGTACTTTTCGTATGGCCCAGCGTGTCTGGGTCCACATTCTCTGAACACGTGAAATGAAAGTACACTCTTCAGCTTGTTGGTACAAATCCAGTAAATATGAACTCGATAAGTCAAGGTTGTTCACAGAACATGCTGGAATTTATTGAATTCATCCAGCTCGTCCTCTAGGAAGGGATGGGGTCTGTCTGGTCTCCTGCAGCTTCCCATTGCCCACCACTGAGCTTGGCACACAGCGAACCATAAATATTTCTTTTTAAATTTTTTAAATTGAGGTCACATTGGTTTATAACATTATAAATTTCAGGTGTAAATTTCAGGTGTATATCATATTCCGACTTCCGTATAGACTGCACTGTGTTCACCACTGAGAGCCTAGTTGTCACCCGTCACTGTACATATGTGCCCTTTTACCTCTTTTGCCTTCCCCATCCCTTTCCCATAAATATTTGTCGAGGGTCTGACTTGAAGGCTGAGAAGCACACATTGGGTCTATTTTTTTTTTTTTTTGAGGAAGATCAGCCCTGAGCTAACATCTGCCAATCCTCCTCTTTTTGCTGAGGAAGACTGGCCCTGAGCTAACATCTGTGCCCATCTTCCTCTACTGTATATGTGGGATGCCTGCCACAGCATGACTTGATGAGCGGTGCCATGCCCGCACCCAGGATCCGAACCGGCGAACCCTGGGCCGGCAAAGCAGAACATGCGCACTTAACGGCTGCGCCACCAGGCCGGCCCCGCTCCAGGTCTATTTTTGTAGCTCTGTCTTGCATGTGTAGGAGACATACTCCTGGATTATTTATTCCACTGACTGTTTACTGAGTGTCACCAGGAGCCCAGAACAGTGCTGGGTGTCAGGGACGCCGTGATGCATGAGGCAGCTCCCTTCCTCCAGGACTCCAGAGTTTGGTGTGCAAGTCAGACAAGCAGCCGAGAGTCCAGCTGGTGAAGCGCTACGATGGAGGCAGCCACCGAGGCGGCTCTGAACCAGCTTCAGCAGCTTCCAGGAAGGCTTCCTGGAGGAGGTGGTATTTGACTCTAAAAGCCTGAGAAGGAGATTCTGGGCATTCTAGCCAGAGGAATAATATGTGTGAAGGGCTTTGGATGTATGTGAGGACTTCGTCCTGGGAGCATCTAAAATGGGGCAGGAATCCATAACCTGGAATTTCGGATTCAGAAAAACAGCCACACAGACCTGTACCGGTCAGCTATCACCGAGACGCACCCTTAAGAGGCACGATGAGGAGTCAGTGGCAGGGGGAAGGGAACTCAACAAGGGGTGGGGACTCCCTGGGGTCCAGGAGCCAGTCTGCAAACTCCCCATGGTTGTTCGAAGCCCAAGCTGCTGTGAGGCCAACGCTACAAAGGGAAGGGGGATCCCACATGATGTGGCCTGTGCTGAGCGCTCCCCACCCCATCTCCCTTTTGCCCCTGGAACCCTCGGAGTGCCTCTGACCTCAGGGCACTGTTCTCTCTGCTGGCCTCCTCTCCCTTCTACTTCGAGTCTCAGCTACCATGCCACCTCCTCAGGAAGCCCTCCCTGATTTCGCCCGGGCAAACCGAGCCACCCCCCTGCCACCTAGCATTTACTTCTTAGTGCCTACAGCTTCCTGAAATCCTCTTAGTGCTGACCTTGCTTGTGTCTGGTCTGGCTCCCACACTGAGATGACAGCTCCACGAGGATGTGGACAGTGTCTGTTTTATTCACAGTGTCAGTAAACATTTCTTGAATACTTGGAGAGTGTGTTTGTTTACTGGAGAGAAACAAGAATCACCCATTCAGAATCCAGACTTCAGCGAAAGTGGCGGAGTCTGTAACTCGAAGGGCTTGTCCCTCCAAGGAAAAATTGACAAATCGAGCAAAAATGGTCAGAATCAACTTTATCGGAACTCAATAAAACAGCCAAAGGGTTACGCCAGCCAAGCGAATGCTGAGTTGAGAAGAAGGCAACGTGAACACGGCAGGAAAGGTTCGCCGCGTTCTCCCCGCTCTGCCCTCGTCTCCATCCAGCAGGGCGGATGGAGGTCTGTGCTCCCAGGATGGGGCCCTGGTCCCCGGCTGCTGAGGGAGCAGAGCGGCCCTCATTCTCACAGGATCGTGTTCCTCTGTCCTGACATGTCTGGGGGCTGCTGCAGGACTGTTTGAGACGCCCATCTGTTGAACTCAGAATGCGTTCCTGCCAAACACCGTAAGGCACAGGAGGAACCCACAGTTGCCTGGGACAAAAGATGGCAACTGCGGACAACGACAGACGTGGCAAAAGCTGGAAGAAGAAGTTTCTCTGGGTAGTTAGGGCATTCAAAAGCACCCATATATACTGAGGAGTTTAGAATGCAATATGCATGTCGAGGGCAGGACAAATGCTCAGAGGAGGCCCGAGGAGACCCTAAGCTTTCATCTCTGGCTGATTTCCAGGCTTGGTGCAAACAGGAAGCGAAAGCTATGGCAGAGTTGTAAACGCCCGGGCGAAGCATTGAAGAAACACCGGCTTAGATCTGTAGAGAGCATAAGAGGATCTTCTTTCTTCTTTTATTCTTTTTTTTAATTATATGAGTTGCCCTTTCTTTTATGCTTTTTTTTTTGGCTGAGGAAGATTGGCCCTAAGCTAACATCTGTTGCCAATCTTCCTCCTTTTTTTTTTTTTTCTCCCCAAAGCCCCAGTGCATAGTTGTATATCCTAGTTGTAAGTCATTCTAGTTTTTCTATGTGGGATGCCACCACAGCATAGCCTGACGAGTGGTGCGTAGGTGTGGGCCCAGGATCCGAACTGGTGAACCCCAGGCCACCAAAGCAGATTGTACAAACTTAACCCCTTGGCCACAGGACCAGCATGAGGGGATTTTCACTGTTCCTTGTTGCTTTCTTCCTTTTTTCTCTCCCTAATATATAAATAACTCATAACTCAACAACAAAAAGACAAACAACCCAATTTTAAAATGGGCAAAAGACTTGAATAAACCAAAGAACACACACAAATAGGCAGGAAGCACATGAAAAGATACTCAACATCAGGGAAATGGAAACCAAAACCACAATGAGATGCCATTTCACACTCCTCAGGATGGCAATAATAAGAAATACAACGGAAACTAACAAGCGCTGATGAGGATGTGGAGAAAGTGGAACCCTCATACGCGGTTGGTGGGAATGTAAAATGGTGCAGCCACTGTGGCAAAGATTGGCAATTCCTCAAGAAATTAAGCATAGAATTATCATGACCCAGCAACTTCCTTCCCACGCACAGAAACAGAAGACCAGAAGCAGACACTCACACAAATACAGTCATGAGCCGCATAACAACGATTCGGTCAAAGACGGACCTCATATATAGGGACTGTGATCCCATTAAGATGAATATCTTGTAGCCTGGGTGTGTCGGAGGCTGGACCGTCTAGGTTTGTGTAAGGGCACTCTATGATGCTTGCACAAGGACAAACTGCCTAGCGACTCATATCTCCGAATGTATCTGTCACTAAGCGATGCATGACTGTACATGTACACACGTGTTCTTAGCAGCACGATTCACAACAGCCCAAAGGTGGAAACGACCCAAATGTCCATCAACAGGTGAATGCATAAAATGTGGTCCATCCATCCAAGGGAATACTATTCAGCCATAAAAAGGAACTGCGTGTTGATAGATGCCAAGGTGATGAAACTCGAAACATCATGCTAAGGGAAAGAAGTCAGACACGGTCACATCTCCATTTATACAAAATATTCAGAACCTACTGGATTTACTAATCCACAGAGGCAGACTGGCGGTGGCCAGAATCTGGGGTGAGCAGGACTGAGGAATCACTGCTTAGCGGGCACAGGGTTTCCTTTGGGGCGGGATGGAAATGTTCTGGAAGTGGTGGTTGCACACCCTCGTGAATGTACTAAATGCGCCGAGTTGTCCACTTAACCGTAGTTAATTTCACGCCACGTGACTTTCACCTCATTAAAAAAAAAAAGAATCACCCTTTCTCCTCGGCTACTTCAAAACGTCGGAGGACAAACACCTGGAGAGAAATGCAGTACGCGCACGACCTCACACAAACGCTGACATTACGAAGTGGTGCTGTTTGCCCAAGTTCTCGGGCCGCGGGAAAGAGCTGACAGCCACCAGCTGTGTTTGAAGAGTCACTGTCACCAGCTGCCAGCTCCTCCCCGGCCTATCTTTAAAGACTCAACATTTCCGTCTAAATATTTTTTCTTGCCTTTACATGGAATCACCAGGTAAAGCCCATTCCTCCAAACTTCTTTGCCTGTCTGTCCGCTTCCCCGAGGGAGGTCGCCTCCAAACCCTCTAAGCACCTGCGGGAGAGGTTAACTGGGGGGCGACGAACCTGGACCCTAACACATGATATTCACTGAGCGCCCGCGACGTGCCAAGCACTGAACCAGCATCCTCTCACTTAGTCTTCACAGCAGCCCGATGAGGCGGTTGTAGCGTCACCCCCATTTTACAGATGAGAACATCGAGGCCGGCAGGGTGACTGCGAGTAAAGGGCGGGGCGAGGCCACGTGGCTCCCAGGCCCACACTCTCCGCGCCTCGCTTCTCTGCGGACTCTGAGCACCTGGGCTGTCGTGTTCCTCACCCTGGACCGCTCCGATCACTCTGTTTACCCGCCGGCCCCCGAGTTTGAGACCCTTGCGTGAAGGGTGGGCCACGCCCCTCTGCGGACTTCCTATGGGCCAGGCCTCGTCTCACTCAGTGCTCACCATCCCCAATTTACAGACGAGGAAGCACATAAATGATGGTGGTAAAGCGCAAAAGCAATGAGGCGTCGACCTCAAATCTGGGCCCACGTTGATATGAAAGGTCTCCGCCCCGCCCCACCTGAGCCTTTTTATAGGCCGGCCCTACGGGTCGCGCGCAGGCCCATGCCCAGCCGCTATTTTGGATCTGCTCCATCCACACTGCATCGCCAACGGTCGTCGCGCGCGGCGTACCATGGGAAAAACCGTAGAGAGGCGCCTTAAAAAGACTCGGCCGCTTCCACCTTAGTTGTCTTAACTTTTGCCTGAGAAGAATGTACCACCATGGTACTTATTTTTGTCATTTTCCCCCACCAGCGGTTGAGACCAGAAGTGGACATCTGTCAGAAAGACTTCCCTAGAAGGTTGAGTGTTTTTAGGCGCATCAGGCATTCATTCGGGCAGCTAGACTCTCAGGGGGTCCTTCACTCTTAGCTCTGCTGGTTTCGCACGACGGGCAGAAGCGGCTGCCAATGAGCTCCGCCGAGTAGCAGAGGGGGCAGGGCTAGCCCTTAAAGGAGCCGCGACCCGTTAGCAGACCGAGGGTGACCCGGATGATGGCGGCCGGCGCGGCCCTAGCCTTAGCCCTGTGGCTACTACTGCCGCCAGCGGGGGTGGGAGGGGCAGGGCCCCCGCCGATCCAGGACGGCGAGTTCACGTTCCTGCTGCCTGCGGGGAGGAAGCAGTGTTTCTACCAGTCCGCGCCGGCCAACGCCAGCCTCGAGACCGAGTACCAGGTAGAGGGTCGCGGGCCCGAGAGCGAGCGGGGCCACGGAGAGGGGGCGTGGCCACGCGGCCGAAGCGAGGCGGGCACTCCAGAGGGAAAGGGGAGGAGCCCGTGCGTAGGAGCGCGGGGGCGGAGCCAGGGGAGCGCGACGGAGGGGGCGGGGCCAGCGCGTGGGAGCGGAAGGGGTGGGAGCAGTGGAAAAAGGCGGGTCTAGAGGGAGGCCGCCCCAGGGGGCGGGGCCACCGGAAGGAGAGGGAGTCTCCAGAGTGGAGGCATCTCGCGCGTGGGCGTGGCCAAAGAAACGGGGTTGCGTGGATTGTGGGAGTTGGTGGGCGTGTCCAGGACGCGCCCCCCGAAAGGGCGTGGCCAATATGACGCTTTCCCGGGGGTGGGGCTAAGGGAAGAAGGCGGGGCCTCTTTTGCCTTACTTTGGGCGTGGCCAAGTCAGGGCGTGGCCAGGTAAACGTCGATCGAGAACTTCGGACAGGGACGTGGCCAGATGAAAGAGCGGATCCCGAAGCTGTCTTATCAATGGGCACGCGGCCGAGGCGAGGGGCGGGGCCAGAAGGACCGGTTGGGGCAGGACTGGGTTCCAGGGGTAGGTGTCAGGCTCAGGTAGGCCCCGAGTCCCGCCCTTGTTCTACCGTAGCCCTCCGCCCTCTTACCTGCCACCCAGGTGATCGGAGGAGCCGGGCTGGACGTGGATTTCACGCTGGAGAGCCCTCAGGGCGTGCTGCTGGTCAGCGAGTCCCGCAAGGCAGACGGGGTGCACACGTGAGTTCAGTCCGCTGCCTGCCCTGCTCGGTTACAGCCCTGCCCCGCCCCAGCGGCCTCGGATTACCGCCCTGCCTGCCTCGCCAAGTCCGCCTGGCTGGCCGCTCAGGGTCACGTCTGTGTGTCTGTCTGCCTGCCCAGGGTGGAGCCCACGGAGGCCGGGGACTACAGGCTGTGCTTTGACAACTCCTTCAGCACCATCTCGGAGAAGCTGGTGTTCTTCGAGCTCATCTTTGACAGCCTGCAGGACGATGAGGAGGTGGAGGGCTGGGCAGAGGCCGTGGAGCCCGAGGAGATGCTGGACGTCAAGATGGAGGACATCAAGGTGCGCCAGGCACAGCCGGGGCCACTCCTCCCAGATGGCTGGCATTGGGCAGCAGTGTGCCCCTGCCCTGCCACCTTGACTTGGGTCCCCCTTGGCCTGACCCAGCCTCCCCTACATATTGGTGCTCCCAACTTAATTCGAAAGTAGCAGCCCCCAGTTAAAATTACAGCACATTTCTAGGTGTAAACCTTGTTTTAAGGGCTTAAATAACTCCCTAAATCTCCATAACCACCCTATAGGTAGTGTGCTCTAATTATTCTCCATTTACAGTTGGGGAAACTGAGGCACAGGATGCCTAAGTAACTCTCCAAAGTCCACACAGCCAGCAACTGGCAGAGCCAATATTTGAACCCAGACAGTCTTGCTTCAGCAGCTGCTACTTATTAACCACTAGTAAATACATTCCTTATACTTATTTAAGCATTCAATTCTCACAGCAATTCTGAGGCCCAGAGAGGTTAATTAACTTGCTCACAGTCTCACAGCCAGGGAGTGGCAGAGTGAGGATTTAGACTCAGGCAGGCTGGTCACAGAGTCCGTGTTCCCAGCTGTCTCTGCCCCGTCCCCCCAAACACGAACTCTCACCCCATCCCGCAGGACAGAGGCCTGACCCTCCTTCTCTCTCTGCCCCCTAGGAGTCCATCGAGACCATGAGGACCCGGCTGGAGCGCAGCATCCAGATGCTGACGCTGCTGCGGGCCTTCGAGGCGCGTGACCGCAACCTGCAGGAGGGCAACCTGGAGCGGGTCAACTTCTGGTCGGCCGTGAACGTGGCCGTGCTGCTGCTGGTGGCCGTGCTGCAGGTCTGCACGCTCAAGCGCTTCTTCCAGGACAAGCGCCCTGTGCCTACGTAGCCCCCGCCCCGGAAGGACGACCAGGAGACAGGAGGGGAGCGGGTGCACGCGTGTGAGATTTGGGGTCCCTTCCCCAACTTAGTCTCCCATGGGCCAGGAGGCTCTGTGGTCTGGGCGTGGAGGGGGCCCCCTGGCAGGCCTGGCCCTCCGGGAGGGGGCTCAGCGGCTGCGTCTGTGTTCCTGGAGATGGTGCGTGGGGGCTCCGCCGCGTTGGAACGGACCCCGTGGATCTGCCGGCCCTGCCCCTGTCCCCTCCTGAATGTGCCTTAGCCCGAGTCTTCAAGGGGCACCGGCCCTGCTCGGTGCGGGACAGGCCTAGGAGGCAAATGCCCTTCCCCTACCGGCCCTGGCTGCTTCTGGGCCCCGCGCCTTCCTTCCTCTCTGGTGGCTGCTGCCTGGGCGCCTGCTCGTGCCAGGGGCTGGCAAGAAGATGCGGCCGAAGTGTTCTCGCCAGGATGGTTGCTTTATTCACAGGAAGGGCCCGGGTCCCTCGGCCCAGCGGAGGGCAAACTGGGTGTGAGGTCAGACCACCTGGCCCTCCCACCCTCCAGCAGGGGCCCCAGACAGGGCTGAGGGGTGGCCGGCCAAAACCTGCACAGGGCTCATGGAACAGAGGGCGGTCTGGCCTGGGCACCGGAGTCAATAAATTATGGTCAAAAAATCCCAGAGCTTGGTGACTGGGGCTCAGGGACACCAGCCGGGACAGCTCTGTCCCCAGGGGGCAGCCAAGCAGGCGGGAGGGGTCTCCACGAAGCTCAGAAGAAAGGTTGGGCAGGAGCCGATGGAGGTGGTCGCCTGGGCACAAGAGAAAAATCAAAAAGCCAACTTCAACCGTGTCCCCAGCTGGGCCAGAAGGCCTGGGCCCCTGAGAGGGCAGAAGGGGACCGGGGGCAAGTCCTCAGGACTGCGGGGGTGGGGAGGGGGCCTGCCGGCCAGCGCAGTGTCTGGGACACAGCCAGGCCTGTGTATGTGGGGGCAGTGGGGGCGCAGGGAGGACCTGCCCCCACTAAGGGAAGGAAGTGGCCTCCCCTGTAGAGCATGGTTCCCTCCAGAGGCAGCAGAGCCCCCATGAGTGAGGGGTGGGGACCACGTGGGAGGGACAGGGCCCTCCGCAGAGGCCTGCTGGGGGCCGGTGCGCAGCCCACGCCCTCAGTCTGAACGCAACACAAAAGGCCCAGCAGCCGCCGCCAGAAGCTTCTTCCCTTTATTTTAGTTTATTAATAGGACAGAGTGCAGGCACTTACAGTGGTCAAACCGAGCGAGGGGTGAGCGAGGAGGTCTGCTCAGCGAGGCCGCCTGGGGCCCACCCCGCGGGGAGCCCAGAGGCCCCACCCACTCAGCCCTGAGCCCAAGAAGCCCTGGGGACCGGGAGGAGGGGCTGAAGGAGGGGAGAGCGAGGACGGCCAGGGCCGAGGGTCGCGGCCCTGGCAAAGGCACCTCCGGCAGCCAGGGCCAGGCTGTGCTCGGCCCAGGAAGGAATATGTACAACTCGGGCAGGGCCGGCGCCACCGTGGGAAGACCGGGCACAGGCGCCCCGGGTGCCCAGGGTCAGAGGCCTGGTCTACGCGGGCTCTCCCGGCTGGAGAAGCGGCCCACCCCAGCCCGGTCCTCGTTCAGGATGGCTCTCGGGGGCCGCTCCCTCCTCGGCTACCCGGGCCCCCCTCCCACAAAGTGCAACGCCCGGCTCCCGGCCCCGCCCGGTGCCGTCCAGCTGCGGGGAGCCGCAGGGAGCCTGGTCCTGGGGGCGCCCAGACCACCGAAGCTCCTGCCCGAGCGCACGCCCATGGCCTAGTCGAGCAGCGACGGCTCGGCGGGGCGGATAATGGTGGGCCGGCTGGGCGCAGCTGGGGGTCTTCTGCTGCAGAGAGAATACAGACACACAGGGAGGGGAGAGCAAGTGAGGCCGAAGCAGGGCAGGCCGAGCACCCAGGCCCCCAGCCCGCCCCAGGGTGCCCCCGGTGCTGGATGCTCCGAAGCCTGCGGGGGCTAGGAGGGAGGCTGCCAAGCCCAGGCGTTGGCCCCCGTGGTCACTTGCTTGCTCCGCGACCCTGAGCAAGTCCCCCACCCGCTGTGACCTCAGAGGCTGTGACCTCAGGTTCCTCGGGGGAGAAATGCGGAGAAGAGCCCGGCCCGCAGGGCGGGGTGAGGTGGGGCAGGGGGAGCCATGGCTGAGCATGTGTGTCCTCAGGAAGGAACAAGGGTCAAAACCAGAAGGGGCCCCGTGTGAGGGGTCCCGAGCTGTGGAGGAGCCACCTGCTCAGGCAGAGGACACCCCGACTCCGCTGCTCTGTGAGTTTGGGCAGGTGACTTGGCCTCTCTGGGCCTCAGTTTCCCCACCAGCCCACTGGGGATGCGGTGGCAGGGTGCAGGCTGCTGGCTCTGGAGGCAGGTGGTGGGGGGCCAGGCTTACCTGGGCACTCCTGGGGGGATGCCGGGTGGGATCCGTGCCGGCCGAGATGGGATCTGAGGCGGGGCCGAGAAGGGGTCATTGTTGGCGAACACGCTCTGGGGGCCTGGCCGGGACGGGATGGGGGGTGCCGAGAAGGAGGCTGCTGCGCCCACGGGCACGGGGATGAGGGGGGGCCCCGGGGTGGGGCCCCTCACTGCGGGGGGCCGGCCCGGGGGGTGCATGCTGGACACGGGTCGGCGCTGTGGAGTGGGGCTGCGGAGGAAGGAGACAGTGTGAGCTGGCCGCGGGGGCCTCCTCTGTGATGCGGGCTGGCATCCTCCATCCCCCCAGACCTACTAAGTGACGGCCGTGCTCCCACCCGAAACCTGAGCCAGGGCCCGGCACCTGTCCCATGTCCCTCTGCCCTCGCTCCCACAGGCATCGCTCTCTCACAGATCCTTCCAGAGTCCAGCCCCGCCCTCCAAATCAAGTCCAAGTGCCCTCAGAGGCTGCAGGGCCCGCGGCCCCATGGCTCCCCCTGGTCTGGGCGCCCCACTCCCCACGCTGGACGCTGTGCCCCCTCCCTAGGGAACTCCATGGCTCAGAGGTTTCGGCAGGGCTGGCACCCTCTACGAGATTTTCCTGACCGACCCTCTCCTGCCGCCACCTGCCCCGTCACTGGTTAGGGGTCCCCGCTCGATGCTCTGAGCTACCCGCACCGGTCTCATTTCCATCTAACAGCTCTGGGGTGGCCGTGGGGAGGGAACATCCTGGTTAGGGCCTCTGGATCCTCCCCACCCCCACCTCTGGCGGGGCTCTGTGCTCCAGGACCCGCCGCTGGCGTCCCTGGGCCTCCTGCCTTCTCTGGTTTCCATCTGGGCTTAACCCATGGAAGGCACCAGAAGACAGCCGAGCCTTAACCCTTCTCTCTGGGCCCATCAGGCCTAGGTGGGGCAGCAGCTCCCCCTGGGGGTGGCCCGGGCACTGCGCCATCCGGGGTCGGGCTCCTCCGCCCCACCCACATCTGGGGGACACACGGCGGGAGTTGGGGCCCCGCAGGCGGCAGCCCCTGCAGCACACGGGTGATCAGGCTGTCCGGACCTGTGGCTGCTGGCGCTCTGGAGCCAGGTGTCGTCGACGGGCGGGGGCACGGGCGTGGACACGGTGCTGGTGCTGATGTCCCCGATGATGCTGAGCGCCTCCTTGAGCGCGTGGTACATGCGCAGCATGTCGTCCCGCCGCTGGGCCTGGTCGGCCGACTCCTCCATGAGGCTGCTCTGGTCCGACGACGAGTACAGGTAGGCCAGCAGCTCGTGGTGGATGAAGGCCTTCGTCTGGGGGAAGGGGCGGCGAGGTCAGCGCGTGCCCCACACTGACTGCGGACCCAGACGGCCACGCGCCTGGCTGCACACTCGGGGGTGGGGCGCTCTGTCTGTGACTTACTGTCGCGCACAGACGATGTTTAGGACATCCCACCCAGCTGTCTCCCGAGTCCCTCAGGGGCACTTTCAACTGTTCTTCCAACCTGTCTCCCGAGATGCTTACTACATTTATTCCGAGACTCTTCCCTCTTTTGTTGCTATCTTTTCTCCTGTTGTATCTTCAAAACTGGCTTTCTTAAAAAACTACTAGTTTCTGTTCATTAATCTGATCCTTTGTTCCTTCCTGAACCCTCCTGCGGCGTATGGTACTTTCCTGGGGTTTCTAGTACCCGTGTTCGTAAGTACACAAGCTCCTACGAACAGGGACAGTGTTTCCCATTCGTTGTCAGTGTTCACGCCTCTGAATTATTTTTCTTGTCTGCTTTGGTCAGTAACTCTATGAGAAAGTTAAAGGAAAGTGGAGACGGCCCCCTTGTCCCTGATTTTAGAGAAGATGCTTCTAGAACCCCACCATTAAGCTTAAGACCAGGGCTTTGAGACCCACGTGCACAGATTCAATGGCTGTGTGACAGCCCATGACAGAAGGCCCCTGCTGGGCCTGGCCTGGTGGTTCGCCGGTTCGGATCCCGGGTGCGGACATGGCACCACTTGGCAAGCCATGCTGTGGTAGGCGTCCCACATATAAAGTAGAGGAAGATGGGCACGGATGTGAGCTCAGGGCCAGGCTTCCTCAGCAGAAAGAGGACGATTGGCAGTAGATGTTAGCTCAGGGCTAATCTTCCTCAAAAAAAAAAAAAAAAAAAAGGCCCCTGCTACAGTTGCCTTTTTAAGAACATACTGTCAGCATCTGCCAAGATGACCATGCTCGATAGTTCTTGATGTGGGAACCATGTGAATGCATTAGCAATTCAAACACTTAAATTCTGAAAAACCGGTAAAAGGGAAAATAAAATAAAATCTGAAAGTACCAAAAAGTACAGGGAGAACGGCTTTGTCTGCTCTGGCCTCCTTTGCCCTAGGTTCTAGGAAGCAACTGCTCTTGCCAGGTGCTTGTGCAAACTTTCAGAGATTTCTATGCATGTATAATTTACACATATATATATTCTCCTCCCTTCCTACACAAATGTATATTCTGTTACGCTCCACACCTTTTCCACTTAACAATGAAAGTTATTACAGACCTGGAGACATCCCTCATTCTTTTTCTTTTTTTGCAATAGAATGGATATTAATTAAATGGATTCTACTAAATGGCGCGATTTCCAGTCTTTGGCCACCACAAAACAATGCTTAAAAGAATAACCACGCACGTGCTCATTTTGCATGAGGGCAAGTGTCTCTGGGGGAAATTCCCGAGTGGAGCCGCTGGGTCGAGCACAGACACGTGAAATTTTGCAGTTGCAGAACCATATGCATCATGACTCCCACCCCTGGGGGAGGCCATGCCAGGACACCCGTGAACCCTAACACTGAGGAGGAGACGGCGAGGAACGGAGTGGAAGGGACGAGACTTGGGTTTTTGCGTGACATCCTGCCATATTTACAGGGTTGACAGTCCCAACACAAACCCAACCTGGTCTACAGGCTTTCTAAGTGCCTGGTGCCGAGCTGAGGGCCTCAGGGGCGAAGCCCTGAACCCTCCCAGCAGCCTGGAGCCGAGACATGAGTGCAGCTGTGTTTCACCACAGAGGAGCCTACAGCCCTGAGAGGCCGGGAGCCCTGGGGGAGGAGGTAATGCCCTGAGTGAAGGCGGGCTGGGCCGCAGGCCACCAGGAGGCCACAGCTCGGGGCGGAACCAGCCTGGGGTTGAGTGCCACCTCCCACTCTTCTGAGTGACTCAGGGCAGGTTTCTTGACGTCTCTGGGCCTCCATTTTCCCGTCTATAAAATGG